TTCTCCTTATTTTCTTGATATGGGAATATTAACTCAAACGTTGCAATTTTATTTCATAGCGAATGCACAATTTACCTTTCTTCCATGGTGGATGATCATAAGATCAATAACGGAGCCTTACTCAGAAATTGCTAGATATGTCCTTATTTCTGATTAACTTCAACATTGTGTCGACATGCAATATTTGATTGATAATAATGACAAACTAAAACAATAAAGAAATACACCAGCAGTACATCTTGTTCAGTATCAAAGTCGGACAATTCAATTTCAATATGCATCCTCAGACTTTACAGGGACTATATACAAACTTGCTCCCTGAGCTTTTTAAAAAATTTATGATAATATGAACTTTTCTACATGAAATTATGATTTATTGGCAAATTTATTAGTCTTATCAAGTCTCATACACTCAAAAACAGACTAGATAAACAATATGAATGAAATTTTGTGAGTGGCACAGACATGGATATTGTTTTAATACATACATTTAAATTTCATTTCCTTTCTTTTCTATTTTAAATAAAATTTCAATTCCAGTCAAACAGCTCGTATCCCTAGCGATTGAATGAAAATCTACTTGCAATACAAACCATATGTTACCGACATAAGCAACATAATATATCCCTTTCGATATCGCAATCGCCGCAAGGATAGCATAAATTAAAAATATATCAGCTTTTTAAAAATAATATCTGCTGTATCTTTCGTATTGCTTTGGTGTAAACGTTGCGTTAGCGTTTAGTACATCATAGTACAGATTATAACGTGTGTGGAGTAGAGAATTCAAAATCAACATTTTCTTGAGTAAGCGACAGTTTAATGATAACACAAACAATTGGTAGCCAAATCCTTTCTATTTTATTTGTCTTGAATAAATTTAAGTAAATTACGTTTCATTTTAAAATTAGCGTCAATTATGGTTATGAATGTCAGCTTCTGAACTGGAATTTCAAAGAAAACATTATGTACCAATAATGAAATTCATTTATTTCCTTAATATTATTTTCGCATGCGGGATATGGCCTTAATTATATTCTCTGTTGTAGATACTAAAAATACGAGTATATGAATTCATACCCCTGTAGTAATTTTTATGACGACTTTTATTTACAAGAGTTGTTGGAAGTAGCACGAGTATGTTTTTATTTACACAGAACTCGGAGTTCATATTAAACTGAAATTGCATTCCTCTTTTAAAATTATTATGTGACATAAAAGAAAGCAAAGATTTTAAATTTCGGAAGCGTAGGGATATTTATGAAGCGGAAGCCTTTTATGTGTCGTACGTGAATGGCCCAAGAGTGCTAATTACCTTTTTTATGTTAGGATACACTCAATTTTTTTACACAGGAACTGCAATATGCTGAAAATATAATTTATTCACACGGCTACAGTAAAATTTTAAATACCACTTTTACAATACTTTAAAAATACTGCTTGATGAACGTACGGAACCGTTCCTCAGGCAATGGCGATTCTCTGACGTTCCGTAGTGGTTTCTGTAACTGGTCGCATCCAGTGCTTCCAAACGTTTCGCCCTTCTTCACTGTCGGCACCTTCAATGGCGATTCTCCAAATGTTTCACCGCGACTCACCTCATTCGCCGCAGCGGGCCCGCACCCACAGATCCTAAGCCGAGAACAACAAGAACATGTGAAAGTTTCCTTTCACATACAAATAATTTTTCAAAGAAAAGTGAAGTGTACTAATAAGGGGTAGTTTACCCTCCAGAAATGTACTTTTCTGAAAAAAACTTTAGAATTAGATTTTCTTTATAATAAAATTTTTGTAAATATTTGATTTTCTTTACAATTTTTGCACAGAACATATTTGAAAAAGAAGAATTTTTACCTTTACCAAAGATAAGAGATGCAACCCCTGCGGTTCGAAATACTTCAATTGGTTTAAAAAAATTGTATAGAAACAGAGATTTCTTGAAAAAATCTGTTTTTATGGATAAACTTTAGAGGTGCTTTTTACCCATTTAAAATGTTTATCGGCAGAGAGAAAAATATACCTACAACATAAGGAAATTTCAATTAAATATTTAGTATCAAGCGACCTTATAGTATTCCTTCCCAGTATTTTAGCCTTCATTGGCATTTCTCCTTTAATTAACGTCGTTAAAACTTAAAATGTTAACTTTCTGGTTATGTAGGACCTATTTGAAATAAAATGTTTTCCTAGTTTCAAACTTGCTGGTCTAAATTGATTATATTTCCCTATTTAGATATGCGGCAAACTATTCTTTATATGAGCATAAAATATTAAATTAATTTTATACCTAAATTTAAAATTAGTTCTGAGCATTAGGTTATATTGGTAACCTAAATTAGATTAAATCCTATTTACGTCAAAGTTTGGTAAAATTTACCTCTTTTAATAAAGAAAATAATTAGACCTAAATGTTAGGAATTTAGTGTAATATGAGGTTATGTATTCTTGTAGATGGTCTTCAATGTATACTTCAACTTAGTGGTTAACTGTTAGGAAATGGTAACGTCAATATTTCTTGAAAATACTCCCCATGGTTAATTAAACTTATTTGCTATTTTTTTTTAAGTATTGCCAAAATATTTTTCTTACTAAATTACGAGTCGATTTACAATTGAAGTAGTACCTTTTACAGTACACAGTCATAATAATCAGTATGGTCTAGTTTGTACTCTAATTTAAATGATTTGTAAAAAAGGTAAAAATAAATTAATCCACTACGTGGTACTTATCGATGTCCCTGGCCCTAGCAGAGTAAATATTGTCCAATACAGATGTTTTCTCATGTGGCTCCTATCCTAGCTATTTCTTCGGAAATATATTCACATAGAATAAAGTTTGAAACCTGAAGGACTCCATATACCACATTACGAGATAGAACAATAACAGAAAAACTTCAAGAAATTTCTAACTCACTAACAGACAGAGAAACACCTAGAATATTTTTTTTCCAAATAGTTTTTATCCTTAACGATGATTTTCAAACGACACAACAGTAACAGAGCATAAAAGCTTACATCAGGTACGAATCTCCCTATACACTGTGATGTTATTTTCTCATTTTCACATAACTGTATCCCATATACAGGGTGTGTCCTAAATAGTCTAAAATATTTCAAATTACTTTATGAAAGAAGTATTTATATTCCAAAAATTTCTCCATTTCAAAATATGGTGTGCTAAGTTTAATATCTTCTCATTTTCTGTTAATATCTCAATAATGCAATGTTTTCCCAAAATTTGATTAGTCTTCCAATTAGCGTGTTTCAGAGTAAAATAAAATTTAATCACCTCACCAGGGGCATACGTATGACAGTATCAAATTATTTAAAAAATGTGTCATTGGCGTATATTACACACACACGTTAGAATTTTTTCACATTGAGTTAGAAAAATAACATTTTTTCCAGAAATAAAAAAAATGCTGAGAGACTTTTTATGTCAAGTAATGAATGAAAAGTGCTGTCTAAATTATTTTTTTAAATAATTGCGCACACGTAGGTACGCTCCTGGTTTTTGAGCATATATTAATACTCTTTTTCAAAAATGGCTTGAAGAATCACCCTCTGAAATATTTTAGATTACTTAGGAGCACCCTGTACCAACAAGACCGAGAAGAATAATAAAATAAATAAAATAGCATAATAGATATCATAAAAATAGCCTTCTGTTGAGAAAATTTTGAATAAACACGTATACATTGTTCTGATATGTGAGAAACTTGAAACACACTTTAATGTGACAACACGCCCCATCAGATTATATATGCACAACTTATCGTTTTCATTAGACATTTTTCATAGCTGAGAAAAAAATTACGTATTGTACAAAAGTTTTTCTTAATATTCATACCTACTCCGAACTATTGGTTAATTTTAATATAAATTTATTATGAAAAGCAGACTATACTGCAATAAACATGCAGCCAATCCATCTCAAAATGCTCTTTTATTATATTTTATGTAAATTGTCAAAGTTTATAGTGAACAACTTCAGGATTTTAAATACATTCAAAACATCAGTATAATATGGCAGAATAATATGATCAGCGTATAAACAGAGAACATTATACCAATGAGAAGCGAGAGCAAGACTTTCTGCGTTAACAGTTTTCCTACCCTTTCCTTGTGTTGCTGTCAGTTGTCAGTGACTGTCAGAGCCATCAAATATAAATAGGAGAAACGAGTAATTAGTAAATAGTTTTTTAGTGGTGGACAGTTGTGTTGTATAACGTTAATTGATAGTGAATTTATTTGTATTGTATTTCGTTTTCATTTAGAATCGACTTGAAATCAGTAAAATGTCTGATTATTGTGCTTTTCGCAGTTTTCATCGAAATCTGGTGAAGGATTAACCCTTTTCAGATTCCCTAAGAGTTATGAATTATTATTATTATTATCAGAATTATCTACAATTTACTATTATTTAAGGTGATTTCTGTTTCCCTTAGCTTCCAATATTTCAATACATTTATCATCAATTCTGGACACTGTACCTAGGTATATAACAAAAGTAAGAGCTTAGGTCCTTACGACAATTATATATAAAACAATGCTATGAAAACCATTGCGATGATGTTATAGTTTGCCTACATTTTATCACAGTTACCCATGTATTATATGAACAATGTTTGATACTGATGCAGTTCATTCAGTGTATTCATAAGTATAACTTCTCTCAGTGTAAACGATTGTGTTTGCTTCAAATCGGTCGACTCTAGCGTGACCACAAAACATCAAAGGAGCCGCAGATTACTCGTTGGTATAGTGTTCTCTGATATATACGTCATACTGTGACGTAACGTTAGTTATCACTTGTCAATAAGGTGTCCTATGATTATCTTTTGCATAAATTATTGTCTTAAAATATTTTTTCTGGTTCAAAACCCAATTTTTTTAATTAATAGAGCAACAAAAATATCCTTGTTGCAATTTTTTTACTATTTACAAATAACTTGAGTCCTTTTTTTGAAAATCTATATTTTTTAACAATTTTTTTTTCAGGTCTTAGCGGGGATCAGTTCCACTTCGACAACAACGGAGACGGCCCTGCCCGCTACAACATAATTCACTTTAAGCAGATGTCAAACGGCAAATATCAGTGGATCCGTGTAGGAGAATATCTGGAGGGAGAGCTGAGACTGAATATGTCAGGTGAGGACGATAGCGTAAATGTAATTGTACCATCAATCATACTAATTAGGTGCATTATTGTGACTGGACTATCGATCAGGCGACAAATTGACGTGCGCCACCAGGCGATGAAATATTTAAATTGGGTAATTAACTTTTGCCGTAATATACAAAGATAAATGAATTTGACTTCTGCAGTACAGAGGATGCCTTGAAATAATTAATTGGTCGTGCTTCAAATATAGATTCTTAGATTTTTTAAATATTGGGATGTTTCTATTTCCATGTAAGCTTTGAAAGTAAGTATTTATGCGAATTACTCTGATAATAGTAGGGGACCGCCTAGCCGGGTGTGTTGGCCGGTGGATTTCATTCTGCCGAGGTAAGCATCACGGACGCAGGCTGGAATTTGGATGGGTGACCTAAGGCAGGCTCGGGACGTGGCTGTGGCAGCAGCCTACCAGAGACCTGGGTCGCCCAACATTTGCCGCATGCGTGTGGTCCCCGATAAATGGTAATGAGAACAGAGCAAAGAAAATCTCTGTAACTCAAGACCACGCTATCATACATAAACTGTACGAGACCTTGCCACCAAGCCACCCGTGTAGTAAATAGGATGGTTTGAAGAAAAGCACTCGAGTAATGAATGAGGGTGTACAAGGGGCCTAAGTGCCGCGGTGGAAAAATAGTTCCACCACCATTCGACATACATGCATACATACATACATACGTACATACATACATGCATACATAATCTGATAATAATTGTTTGTAATTTTACTTGTAATTTCAGTATTTTCAGTAATTTTACAAAAAAAAATTAAATCGTATAATTTTGTTATAAAGCATAATTTTGGTATATCTACAGAATTTTTGTAAATTTTCAATGTGGCATTACAGTGTTTTATTTGCAAATTTTCAATGTATTTTTACGATATTTTTTATTTTGTATAGCGACGTTTTTATATTTTTTAAATATTATTATGATACTACAACGCAACGTTTCTGTATTACAATTATATGTAAATATGTATTATTAATTAAATTGGTGATAGTAATTTCACAGTGTTATAAATTTTTACAATTACTGTCATTTTCTCTACAATATACAGGGTGTAAAAATGTAAGGGACGATTCTCTGATGAAAATAGAAGGCTTTGGTATAAATTTTTTTTAAAAAACCCTGAAAAGTTACCCCTACAAAAATTTCAAAAAAAAAATGTTCTTTTTTATCTTCTATGTATATCAATCTAAAGAAACCAAACTTGGTGATTATCTATCAAAGAAACTAAACATCTGAAATTTTTTCAACCCTGAAGTATTTTTGTAAGGGGTTGAAATAATGGATGTGGACTTAGAGATTATTTCAAATTTTAAATTAAAAAATTGGTGGTTGTAATACTTTTTATTTAAAAAATAATTGTACTAGAATGTAACCAAACTGAAAATAAATGTCTATGAAATTTGACGTACACAAAAACTAAATTACAGGTATAAATTATATTTTTTGTTTAATAATTATTATGTAGCTTGGTGTAAGTCCACTAAGAAGCATGCTTGAGTACTTTCCAGAAATATATTTAAAAAAAAAACTATAAGTTGTTAAGGACTAATAAGTATTGCTGTCAGAGAGCCGCAAACCAATGGCGTGCCAAGCGATTCATGCGAGACATGCGTGAGTCGTTGCCTCAGAATGCTTTCCACATCACGTCACTTTAGTATACCGTTGCTTTGTTATCGTGCGGATGTTACATAATTCCTATCCGTTGATGTTTATAGCGGTGTATTGTGTATTGTAGACAATTTAATTTGTTTTTTAATAAATAATACGTACGCCTATGTCAGGCGACTCAGTTCTGACAGCCCTACTAATAAATTAAGAACTATACTCGTATCTACTAAATAAACATTGAGATGATTAAACTTATAGGTACCTACTTTTGAGCATGGTGTTGGCGTGTCGGTTATTAGCAATCAAACAGCTTATAGAATAATGAATTAATGTAAACATTCTTTCTACAATTTTTAAAAATTATCGCTTTGCTAATAAACAAAAAAATAACTAAGTTTAATGAAATAGTTTTATATATCTTTAATCAATAAAATTAATCCAATAAAGTTATGCTCGGCTTATAGGAGCCGCAAAAAAAATTCCAAACAGGGTTGCTTGGGGACTGCCTCCCAACTATCCAACCAAAAGACACATTCCTAAACATTTTTTTAGAGCAAAATGATAATAAAAGTTGTAGAGGATCAAATTCTGGACAGTTAACGAGTTACTGTGGATTATATGAAAAAAACTGTGCACGCTGCAGTGGTGGTCTTGTAAACATGTTGTTACATTGGTAAAATCTATTATAAATTATAATTAACGATGTATATTTTTGTCTATTTCCGTTTAATATTAATATTGTCACAAATATACTTAATGAAATTATAGATCACAGGTGATTTTTCATAAATGGAGACTCTTTACTTACTCACTTTGTTAGTTTTCGTATCAAAATTACTGTTTTTGTTTGATATTTTCACTTTCTCATCTTCCCATGCTCTTTTGGGTTATTTGCTAGAAAAAAAGAAACAGATACCAGTTCGATTTTGCCCCAAGGCGTACAAAAAAATTATTTGTATCTAATATAAAAGTAAAACAATAGACGCATGACGAACATGTATCCAAAAAATTGTTCAAGTAAAATCAATATTGTCCACAACGAATACAATTACTTACCTTATGAAAAATGTACATCAAAATAGATCAATAATGTGTTGTATAACTCTACTAATTATAGTTGTAATGTTCAAATAATATCAATTTACTTTGAGAAGGCAACATTACATTCATCTTTGTAAATGTTTATGTTGTTGATGTCAATCGTCGATATTAATCAATTTTTCTTATATTCAAAGCACTATTAATATGCGATCTACATACGTTTGAGCGTCACCAGTTGTTTTTCAATTAACCTACATTGTGCAAAGTTATATTGAAAAATAATTTAGTAAAACAGATGTATAACTTATAGACGTCTTATTTTAATGGCGCCATCTTTTGTTTATATCACTGTGGTCGAAGCGCTCAACATTAAAAACATAGTGTCAAAAAATAAGAAATTTTACATAATTTATTAAATATTAACTAATATTGTAAATACATATATTTTAATCAACTGTTACACAGTGAAATTAATGAAAAATAATTTAGTGAAAACAGATTGTTTTCTTATGGCAACGACGTGTAATTTTAGTCACCATATTTTCTTGATGTCAATGTGAGCAAATGAACTAATGTTGGTACGTAGGTTTGTTATTAATTGTATACAAAATTAATTTATGTTTTAAAATAATTATTTACTACTTGAGTTTTCTGTTAGATTACTTGTGAAGTAGTGTTTCATAGTTTATCTTATTTAAAAAAATTAAATTAAATTTTCGATTATGTGGGATGACAGGACAACAAAAGTAACAGGCCAAAGAGTAGTACGTCATGACGTGTGATGTGAAAACTTACTTTTTAATAAACTCTCCTTCAAATTATGAGATTTTTCAATTGTAGGTACGTTGAGACTAACGCTCGCCGTTATTTAGGGTTACACCATTATGTCCAGCGGCGAGGTATGAAAATTATTAAAAGAATGTTAAAAAAATTAAGTTTTCACGACGGAATTTAACAAAACATACTATTGACACGTCTAAAAGTCAAAGGTAGACTCTGTATAACATGAAAGCTGAGTTTGTAATCTTAAATACGAGTAGAAAGTGTTACATTTCACTGATTGCCTCTTATTTCTACAAACAGATGTAAATTTCATTGTACAGTTGACTAAGCTTTAAACAGCATTGATTACATTGTTTCCAGTTTCACACTCGAACTAATATTTAGATAGTTAAATTTCCATAATACCCAGAAAGTCGACAGTGAGGTTAAATGGAACTCGATAAATCAGGAAAATATCTTAAAGACCGTATAAATGGCAGGTCATTCAACTTAAACTAACTTACCGCTCAAAGTAGCAACAAGAAACATATTAATCCCTCTTGTATGACAGTCATAAATCACATATAAAATTATAACGTTGACAAAACTCAGATAAGTGGAAGGCCAGCGTATTATTCGAGTGGATAGATGGACACGGGTCTTAAATAATGAAGGCGTCCCACAAAACATCTTTCAAAGATATGATTAATTACGCTTGTAAAATTTCCTCATGATTAACAGTTGCCGCTTTGTTACCTGGTAATTAGAATATTTTATGAAATTTTTTTCAATATCTGTTTTAAGTTTTTACAACGATCATTGTGGTACTAGACGTGAATATTATCAGACTAATAAAGCAGCGTGTACCACAGCGATTGCTTATGATCCGAATTACATATACGTATACAGCCCATACGATATTTGTCGAAATAGAATTCCAAGAAGATCCCTGCGTCACTTTCTTGGAATTAACCGCATTCGACACCTGAGGTAGAAATATATTGGTGGCGTGGCCGTATCAGTTTGCAGTGCATACTGTTTTGCAGTTACGGCGTGTTTCTTCGTTATTTGTACCAATAAACATAAAACACACCACAGAAATGAGACAACCCCCAAATCCAAAAGCCAAAGGCTTGTGCGGAAGGGGGCTACACTTGAAAAAACGCGGACAAACACCCATTATCCATCGACATTGCCAGTGCCGACACCGGGGATCGAACCCGGACCAGAGTAGGAAGCCTAGCCGAGAAATGCTTGCCACCGCACTCTCGACCGACTGCGCTACCGTGGCGACAAACCAATGTGTTTATAATTGTATTATCTTCTAGTTTATTTGTACTCTGACTGTGCTTTAAAAGAAATAAAAACACGTTTTAATCCAAAAAATCTACTTTATACAGTGTATCCCACCGGGAATCGCCGCAATCGATATTTGGAAAAGTACCTACTTATTTGAAAAAATTTAAAATTTGGCAACTTATCAGTCAGTGGGGGAAACACAACTAATATTTTCAAGATCATAGCACTTCCGGTTATACCGGAAGTC